TATCATGCAAACTCATTGGGTATCGTGCAAACTCATATGGGCATCAAAGGAAACTCATATGGGCATCAAGGCAAACTCATTGGGCATCAAAGCAATCTCAGTGGGGCATCAAAGCAAACTCAGTAAGGCATCAAAGCAAATTCATTGGAAACCAAGGCAAACTCATTGAGCATCAAGGTAAACTCATTGAGCATCAAGGTAAACTCATTGAGCATCAAAGCAAACTCATTGAGCATCAAGGCAAACTCATTAAGCATCAAAGCAAACTCATTGAGCATCAAGGCCAACTCATTGGGCATCAAGGCCAACTCATTGGGCATCAAGGCCAACTCATTGGGCATCAAGGCAAACTCACATGGGCATCAAGGTAAACTCATTGAGCATCAAGGTAAACTCATTGAGCATCAAGGTAAACTCATTGAGCATCAAAGACAAACTCATATGAGCATCAAAGACAAACTCATGAGCATCAAGGTCAACTCATTGAGCATGAAAGCAAACTCATACTGGCATCAAGGTAAACTCATGCGGGCATCACTGTAACTCATATGGGCATCAAGGCAAACTCGTTGGGCATCAAAGCAATCTCAGTGGGGCATCAAAGCAAACTCAGTAGGGCATCAAAGCAAACTCATTGGAAACCAAGGCAAACTCATTGAGCATCAAGGTAAACTCATTGAGCATCAAGGCAAACTCATTAAACATCAAAGCAAACTCATTGAGCATCAAGGCAAACTCATTGAGCATCAAGGCAAACTCATTAAGCATCAAAGCAAACTCATTGAGCATCAAGGTAAACTCATTGAGCATCAAGGCCAACTCATTGAGCATCAAAGTAAACTCATTGAGCATCATGGTAAACTCATTGGGCATCAAGGTAAACTCATTGAGCATCAAGGTAAACTCATTGAGCATCAAAGTAAACTCATTGAGCATCAAAGTAAACTCATTGAGCATCAAGGTAAACTCATTGAGCATCAAGGTAAACTCATTGAGCATCAAAGCAAACTCATTAAACATCAAGGCAAACTCAGGAGTGGTGATTCTATGCAAAATTTGTGATTTAGTGAGAATGGTGAAATTATGTGAATTGGTGAAATTTTGTGATTAATGAAAATGGTGAAATTTTGTGAGTTAGTGAAAATGGTGAAATTTTGCAAGTTACGGTAGTGAAAATGGTGGAATTTTGCGAGTTCATTAAAATGGTGAAATTTTGCGAGTTCGTTAAAATGGTGTAATTTTGCGAGTTCGTTAAAATGGTGTAATTTTGCGAGTTAGTGAAATTGGTGAAATTTTGCGAGTTAGTGAAAATGGTGAAATTTTGCGAGTTAGTGAAAATGGTGAAATTTTGCGAGTTAGTGAAAATGCTGAAATTTTGCGGGTTTAATAGTGAAAATGTTGAAATTTTGTGAGTTAGTGAAAATTTCATGGGGGGTTCTACGTCATTGACTGTGTCACCGACTTTCATAAACTTTTAGCTTCACGGAAATGGTGAAATTTTATGTAAGAATATCCCCCTATGACATAAAACTGTCAAATGAAGAAAAATAAAGCTGCTAATAGAATACATGATTACCTTGCACAAATTAGATATGGGGCAGTTTTGAAGGCAAACTAAGCTAGCAATAATAGGCAAATTTTTGTAAAACTGTGTTGTAATGAAATCCCTTTACAAGACACACATTTAATCCTGCAGATTTTTTAATTACATTTAAATTGTATTTGTAAAGCATACAATTTTAAAGAATTTCACCAGTTTCCAAATTGAGAGTGACTTTCACAAAATGTCATCCTTTTAAAATCCATAAATTATCATAAGCGAAACTTTGCACATAATTTCTTTAATATTTTGATCAGCTGAACAAAAATTGTCACTGGTGACAGCTCATGAAAAAAAAAAAATAGAAAAAAAAATACAGGCTTATTTTGTGAACAAAAGTTAACTTGCTTCAAATTGGTTGACAATAATTTATAACATTTTTATGTAAGGATATCCCCCTATCCTAACCTATCCCCCATATTGTTAAATATTTCATTAATAGCCATGCAACGTAAAGTGACTGTTTTTAAAAACAAATCAAGGTCTAATGATAAAAACAATATTTTATACTTAGATGGCCACTTGTTAATATTCAGTCAAACAGAGAAACAAATGTCTCAATTGGTGTGTCCTGCCTCACAAAGGTTTCACAGAGGAGAGCAGAAGTTGATGATTTGGGGGAAAACACGTAAGTAGCAACAGGGGACTGCTCAGTGCCGGTGTAAATATAGAATAGAATTGTACATGACGTGCACGACAGAATGACGTCAGTAAGGGCCGTTAAAACGGGAAACAGCAAAACCATTTGCTGACTGTTGACATTTCAAATACAGAGCACAGAATGTCACCATCGACAACATATCTTCACAGAACTCAATGTGTTTACCACTTTAAATTTTATCAGATATATCATTTTTTTTTTTTTTTTCATGGAAATAATATGCCAATTATAGCTACACTCATTATGAGGAAGATAAATCAATGATAAAGAACTGGAAAATGTTACCACTGTAATCTCAATCAATCTGGTACGTCATTAAGAAGAGGAGTACAGCCTATGAAACCATTTATTTTTCTTTCTATTTTAGAGATACATGTAATTTCTACACTAAAAAATTATAATAATACAACAATAATGTACACAAATTTTTTTATATTGTCTAACTTATTTATTTGTCTTTATTTAAAATACTTTGATTGGATACTAATCAATTTGGTCATTTTAATTTATTTATATTTTTCCATACTTCGTGATGTTCAAAGTATATGAAAAATATATATACAAAATATACAAATGTAAATCTCCTTAAAGAAAAAATAAAGTTTATA